AACAGAAATATAAAGACACTAATAGTAGTTACAATAACAATAATAACGAAACAAAAACAGCAGCAGCAACAACAACAACAACAACAACAACAATTATAATAACCCCAACCCAGCCCTACACAAATTCCACACCACAGCGTCTGCCACTGTAGCCTCCCTGATTCAGCATATATCCACGCTCACCGTTAGGCGCCTGGGAACAGTGTCGATATCACACTAATTACAAACAGAAGTCTTAAACCATCAGGCCTATAGCACCCTCTTCCTCCTTCCCCCCTACCTCCTCCTCCTCCTCCTCCTCCTCCTCCTCTTCCTTTTTCCTTTCCCCTTCCCACCCTTTACGAAGAATGGGAGACTCGAGTGAAATATGAGATTTTTCCGTTACTATTATTATTCATTCATTCATTTTTTTTTTTTTTGGATAATCATAGGGGTTCCTTGATATATCTACTATCCTGTTTGTTTTAATATTTTTTTCCTTCTTGTTATCGCTATCACTATCAAGAACATGACTACCATCGTAACAATGACTCGACATTATATTAATATTACCACTGTCATTACATCATTACATTACACGTAGCAATCTTATTACGGTTATTATTTTCATTAATGCTCCCCTTCATCTAGAGGCAAGAGACAGGATAACAAAGAAAGAGTAGGAATACACGAAAATGGGAAGTAGAGAAGAGTGGAGAATCAACAGAGAGTTGGAGAAGGAAGGGAAGACAAAGAGGGGAGGAAGGGAAGATGGGGAAAGGAATAGAAGGAGGAGAAGGAAGGGGAGAGGAGTGAGAAGGGAAGGAGAAGGGGAAAGAAAATAAGAAAGGAGGGGTTGAGAAGAGAAGGAAGGGAGGAAGAAGAAGGATGAGAATAAGAAGGGGAAAAGGGGGAGAGGAAAGGAGAGAGAAGGAGTAAGGAAGGGAGTGAGAAGGAGAAAGACAAAGAGTGAGAAGAAGGAACGAGAGGAAGGAAAGTAATAAGACAGAGAGGAGGTGAAAACGAACGGTGGAGGAAAGAGAGCGAGACGGAAGGAAGGAAGGAAGGAGGGGAAATGAAGGGAGGGGAAGGGGAGGGGAGAAAAGGGCGTGGCGTAGAAGTGGAAGTGGGGTTAACGACCTGCTATCACCCCTATCTAATCAAACACTCCCTCACCCACCCACGCCCTCGCTTGATGGCGGCTGCAGTGGGTGATTATTCCGTGGGCGTGTGTGTCCCTGGCTGTCTGTTTGTGTCTGTGTCTGTTTTTCTCGTTTCTCTCTCTCCTTCCCTCCCTTTCTCACTCCCCCTCTCCCTCTCCTTCTCTCTCTCTTCCTTCCTCCCTCCCCCTCTCTTTTTCCCTCCTTCCCTCTCTCTCTCTCTCCCTCCCTCCCTCTTTCTCTCTCTCTTCCTCTCTCTTTCTCCCTCCTTCCCTCATTCTCTCTTTCTCTCTCTCCCTCTCTCTTTCTCCCTCCTTTCCTCATTCTCTCTCTCTCCCTCCCACTCCCCTTCTCTCTTTCTCCCTCCTTTCCTCATTCTCTCTTTCTCTCTCTCCCTCCCACTCCCCTTCCCTCTTTCTCCCTCCTTCCCTCATTCTCTCTTTCTCTCTCTCCCTCCCACTCCCCTTCCCTCTTTCTCCCTCCTTCCCTCATTCTCTCTTTCTCTCTCTCCCTCCCTCTCCCCTTCTTTCTTTCTCCCTCCTTCCCTCATTTTCTCTTTCTCTCTCTCCCTCCCACTCCCCTTCTCTTTCTCCCTCCTTCCCTCATTCTCTCTTTCTCTCTCTCCCTCCCTCTCCACTTCCCTCTTTCTCCCTCCTTCCCTCATTCTCTCATTCTCTCTCTCCCTCCCACTCCCCTTCTCTCTTTCTCCCTCCTTCCCTCATTCTCTCAAGTAGAATGTAAACAACACTCGACGGTTTGCCAGACGTAGCGTGCATAAACACCACGCTATTCGAACACAGTAAATCACACGAATAGAAAAAAAAAACACGGACAATAATAACATTAATTTGCATAATTCCCAGAGTACACGATGAAAAAAGGCACCAATTAAATATCTATATATAACACACGTCGACTTCGCATAATTTAATTCACTAACAAACATTTATTATAAACAACGGAAATTAATTATTTTGAAACGAGAGGTCATTAGATTTGAAATTTTAATCTTTAATTCTCACGAGGCAATGGATATTAACGGCTTTTGTAGAATATGAAGTTTAACTGTATTTATTAATGATTGTCACTCGTTATCATTATAATCTTTTGTAAGAATTTATCATTAGCCTGTATCATTACCGTAGCTTAATACACGTGATTATTATTTATTTTCTCTCCTTCTTTATCACTATTCGTTCTATCTGATGGTTATCACTACGTTTTGTTAATTATTACCACTATTACACTCGCTGTCACCTTTTCTGCTTTACATTTTTGATTACTGCCATTATAATTAAGATCATCACTTTCGTAAACCTTCTTCAGGCGTCACTGATCAGCACTGCATGGGATCTCGTCCTCTTCGTCAACACCTTTTCCTTATTCCTCGTCATCACTCCCCCTCCCTCCCCCTTCCCCCCCGGGCACTCACCATCCGAAGTACCATGGGCGCGTGCCGGGGGCGCGGGCGGCGCGGGCGGGGTGCATGGCCAGGGCGTCGCGCAGGCCCTCGAACTCGGAGCGGAAGGGCAGGAACTGGCACTCGTCGGCCACGGCCTCGTAGGCGCCCTCCACGCTGTCGTAGGCGCTCCTGAAGAAGGCGGGCGAGAAGCGCGCGAGGGCGGGCCAGCGCGCCGCCGCCCCGCGCACCACCAGCGGCCGCCCGCGGTACGCCCACGCGGCGAAGGCGGCGCGGGACACGTTGGCGCCCAGCTCCGCCGCCGCGCGCACGCCCGCGCACACGCGCCCGCAGTCCGTGCGCAGCCGCGTCGCCTCCATCACGAAGTAGTTGTTGCGGACGAGGCACCTGGAGGCCACGAGGTCGGCGCGCAGGCGCTGCAGGGGCGCCAGGGCCAGCAGGGCGGCGGCGGCGGCGGCCAGGGCCAGGGCCAGGCGCCGGCCGCTGGCTCCCGTGGCACTCCGCCCGCCCGCCGCCGCCCCCACGCCGCTGCGGCCGCGCCACAGGGCGCTCAGCTCGGCCGCCGCGACGCCCCTCCGCCGCGCCTCCCGCACGCGCCGCTCGCACAGCAGCCGCAGCCGGGCGCGGGCGGCGGCGGGCGGCACTGCGTTGCTCTCCGCCATCGCAGCCTCATCTGAGCGCCAGGCATCCGGCCAGCGCCGCCTCGCCCGCCCGGAAGAACAGGCGCGCTGCCGGGCGCTCCTCTCAACCCTTCCGTTTCTGCAGATATCGTTTTCTTGGACATTATATCACACAGCATATTCTATAAAACTCATAGCATTTACCTTTCTAGTCAGACATTACAACTGGGCTTTCATTCAGTGCTACCAACACGAAACAAAATGTTATTGTAAGCGCCGTTATTATTCTTCTGGCAGCCAGCGGCGCGTAAATTTGAGCCGCCGTCTGCACGCCCTGGGCTTCCCTCGCCGGCCTCTCGTAAGGGAAACCTGCACCTTTTGCCTCGCCGGTCAATCACTACGGCTTGCGGGGGAGGATTTGCACCCCATACAATCGATATCGATGGGCAGAAGGAGAAGAAGTGCAGGACGCCGGGAATATAGGTCAATAGAAGGAGACAAACGCGATGTTGCGGGCGAAAGCACAGGCCAATATCACAGGCACGTGACTCCTTTCACAACACTCTCTGAATATGCAAATAACACGATCGGTTCCAGTTAGATTATACGTCATTTACAAAACAATAGATCATTTTCGTCGTATCATTTCCATCACAACATGATATTTGTTTTGTTTCTTCACGGCAATATTTTACGCCAGTTTACCTTTTATGGCACTTGCCTCTGGCTGGAAGATGATGCAACATTTGCAATTTCAGTGTCATGCTTAAACAACCGAATAGATCTGCACTAATTCAGTTTACAGACTGATGTTTCTACACGTGACATCTTGTTCTGTTTTCGATATCTGACATCCACATGAAGTCTAATATACGTAAAAATTATAAATGTTTATTAACTGTGAAATCAGTTTAAAGCTTTACATTAAGTTAAGTCTGCTGCATAAAATTAAATTGCCTTTCACAAAATGGATCAATATTTTTCTGAGGGATGATGTCACTGCACCGAAAATACTTTCCGTTATGCCAAGTCAGTCGGGGTTGCTCGGTTAGGTAGGGATATATCAAAGCATGTGGACCTTTTAATTGAATTATAGCATATGATACATGCATAAATACATACTTATGTACGTATATGCATACATGGATACATACATACATACATGTATACATACGGTACATATATATATATATATATATATATATATATATATATATATATATATATATATATATATGTATATATATATATATATATATATATATATATATATATATATATATATATATATATATAACACACACACACACACACACATACAGACAAACACACACACACATGTATATATACGTGTGTGTGTATATGTTTACATATCTATAAAGACAGGCAGAAAAGGGGAAAGAGTAAGCAAGGAACACACAGACAGACACAGGAAAATATTGAATACAGACATGCAGACACATACATCTCCATACACACATACACATAACTACATCAACATCCAACTTCCTAAACAAATACACCAATCAACATGAATCCCTCTTGTTCGTTCTTTCTTTACCCAAACTAACGAAATTCTGCTCAGGAACAGACAACCTTACCTGACTTGTATTAGTAGGTTGGAGGGAGGGCAGGGCAGTGGCATTGCAAGGCATACACGTCACACACACACACACACACACACACACACACACACACACACACACACACACACACACACACACACATACATACACACACGCATACACACACACACACGCACACATACATACACACACGCATACAAACACACACACACACACACACATACACACGCACACACACACACACACACACACACACTCTCTCTCTCTCTCTCTCTCTCTCTCTCTTACACACACACTAACACACACACATACACACACACACACACACAAACACACACACACACACACAAACACACACACACACACAAACACACACACACACACACAAACACACACACACACACACACACACGCACACTGCATTACCCTGTGACTTGTCTTTGTGAGGGAAATGTAATATGTGTTATATTGGTGATCCAGGTCTGTAATTCAAATGGGTGGATGTAAGGTTTGATGAGAGGGAGAGAGAGGATGAGGAGAAGTGGGTGGGAGGGAGGAGGGAGGGGGGGGAGAAGGGAGGAGGGGCAGAGAGGGGGAAAGGAGGGAGGGAGAGACAGGAGGAGAGGCAGAGAGGGGGGAGGAGGGAGAGAAAAGCGGTTGGGGAGGAGGGAGGGGAGGGGGAAAGGAAAGATAGTTAGATAGATAGACAGATAGATAGAGATAGAGAGAGAAATAGCCAGCCAGATAGATAGATAGATAGGCAGATAGATAGATAGACTGACTGCTAGATAGATTAATAAATATATATGCAGATAGCTACATAGAGAGATAGATAGATAGACAGAGAGAGAGATAGAGAGAGAGAGAAAGAGAGAAGGGGGGAGAGAAAGAGAAGCCGTCTCACTGCTGAATTTTCTGCTTGCATTAATCTCTTTCTCCCTTTTTGTCACAATATTGATCCCTAAACCTTTGGTCTTTTCGCTCACTTAGCGGCCCAATTAAGAGAGCCAGAAATGGAAAACACAAATAAATTAAGTACGTAGATAAAAACATACATGCACACACACACACACACACACACATATATGTGTGTGTGTGTGTGTGTGTGTGTGTGTGTGTGTGTGTGTGTGTGTGTGTGTGTGTGTGTGTGTGTGTGTGTGTGTGTGTGTGTGTGTGTGTGCGTGTATATGATTGTGTGTGTGTGCGTGTGTGTATTATTACGGTTGTAGTTCTTTGACGAGATTTATAGCCTTACTTAGTCAAGGGGAATGGTGTAACTACAAATCCATAATAAAGTTGATGCATTAGGGTTTAGTTCCACGCAATATGATGTTTCATATATTTTGCAGGTTCTGCGAGTATATTTATTTTATTAAAAGTATGTATTAGAATTATATGTAGTTTCACTTAGTGTAGTCAGATATTAGAATTGTATATAGGCTCACTTAGTTTAGTTTTTATTTCTCTCTTTATATTACTTTCATGGAAATGTGTAGAAAAGCAAGTAATGTTTTATTTCTATTTATCAAAAACCAACCCATTACCAACACTTTACACACCCACACAATATCTATCCCTAAACCATCACACAAACACCATGAATAATGAATTATCCATAATTAAATTGATATACAACACTATCAACATTCTCGTTGTAAATGATTTTATATATCTTACAATTTTCTGTAGTAAAACGCTACAAGATTCATGGGTCACAGCTGAGGAGTAGCGAGGCTAGGTGACCGAGCTGCCCAGTTCAATGGCTGAACAACTCTCCTTTCTTCCGGCTTCCTTACCCTTTTGTAGGCCTACTTGGCGGGTTCGCAGGGCAGCGTCTTGAGAAGTGGCGCGGAGGAGGGTAGGATCGCTTGTTCTCCAACGAGGTCGTTTGGGGGAAACGCGTTCGTTTTTCAGTTGAAGATTTCGTGACGATAAATCGGCAATTGCAGACGGAACGACGTCAGTTGTAGCAAAAGAAAAGAAAGAAAGAAAAAAAATATAGTATATATACATATATATATATATATATATATATATATATATATATATATATATATATATATACATATATATATATATGTGTGTGTGTGTGTGTGTGTGTGTGTGTGTGTGTGTGTGTGTGTGTGTGTGTGTGTGTGTGTGTGTGTGTGTGTGTACAAATGTATGTGTATATATATATATGTGTGTGTTTGTGTGTGTGTGTGTGTATGTGTGTGTGTATGTGTGTGTGTATGTGTGTGTGTGTGTGTGTGTGTGTGTGTGTGTGTGTGTGTGTGTGTGTGTGTGTGTGTGTGTGTGTTTGTGTGTGTGTGTGTGTGTGTGTGTGTGTGAAAATGAAAAAAATAATTAACTGATAAAGAGATAAAAAGAAACAGACGGAAATTAATAGACAAAAGATGTACTCTAAATATAAAATTGTTTTCCCTTACCCTCCGCGCTCCCCTCCAGTATTCGGGAATCGCGTGTTCCGAACGATATTAGTCTGTCTTTTAAGGATATATTATTTAATCCGTTCTTTCTTTCTTTTATTTAATTATTTTCTTTTAACTTATTGCATCTCTCTTGTTTGATACATTAATAGAATATTCCCGGAAAAGAAAGGTTTCATGAGACGAGAGAGAAATGGAATTGTGCTTAAACTGGAAGATAAAGATATTGTCAGGATGAGTCAAGTGATGTGATGTTATCAGGCGAAAATTATTGTATACATTTTATGATTTTGGGCCGGATGAATCTAGTTCTAGGCGAAATTAGCTTATAAATCAAATTGAAATGTATTTTCTCAACTGCACGCACACAAACCAGGCATAATATATACATGCACACATGCACACACGCAAGCATGCACGCACAGACATACACACATACACACACAAGAGAGCTTCTATTCTGATAACGTTCAACTACCTTTCTATTTGTATGTGTTAAACGGTACATACAAACACACACACACTCACAAACACACGCACATACATACACACACACACACACACACACACACACACACACACACACATACAAACACACACACACACACACTCACACACACACACACACACACACTCACAAACACACGCACATACATACACACACACACACACACACACACACACACACACACACACACACACACACACACACACACACACACACACACACACACACACACACAAACACACACACACACACACACACACACAAACACAAACACACACACACACACAAACACACAAACACACACACACTCACACACACACACACATACACATCAAGCTACTGCAATATTTTGCGCAGTCACTCAATCCTTCAACCCTCCCCTTTCTAAAAAATTATACACACATTTCTCCCAAGTTCATTCTTGTCTGAAATATCCTTCGCGGACGATATAACCGATGGCTGTACTACGATGCAGTTAGACGATGGATTAACTTGACTTATTTGACTTCATTTGACTGACTTATCAATATTGCATTTTTGAGAATGACTTTAGTACTGTTAATGTTAATGTTATTGATTGTTGTATGTACAATGCATCGGGGTATGATGTGTAAATATGTATGGATGTTGATTTGCATGTATGATATTGGTACGTTAATATTTGTGATAAAGTGTATATTTAATATGTTTAATGGGAAAGATATATGTTTTTTGGTACTAAATTGCGCTTTAGAAGATTATATATCAAATGCATAGAGATATTCACTTAAATATGCAGTCATAACTTACACGTACACATGGAAAATGTATACACTTAGAGACCCAGAAGTACACACTTATAAGTACATGCACAGCACCGACACTCCCCCCCCTCCCGCCGCGCACTCCCTCGACACCACCCACCCGTCTCTCCTCAGCACACCCACCTCCGCCCACTCTCCACACCCACACACGCCCATTCTCGCCCACAGCTCAGCCACCTCCGCCCACCGCACGTACCCCCCCCTCGCCCAACACAACTCCCCTCACTTCCCCTCACCGCCCCCCCCCCCCTCGCTCACCACACGCACCCACCTCTCCTCACCCCCCCACGCCCACCACACGCACCTGCCTCCCCTCGCTTCCCCTCACCCCCCCCCCTCGCCAACCATACGCACCTACCTCCCAACCACCCTCCCTCCCCCCCCACGCCCACCAGACGCACCCCCCCCCCCTCCCCATATCCTCCTACCTCGGCACTCCACAGCGGACCCACTCCTGACAGCACGCGAACTTTTGGCATTTTCTTCAATTGCACAGTTGCCTCCCACTCCCCTGCAACATTAATGGGCGGGGATTGAGCTGCAACTTCCTGCTCTCTGTTTGTTCCTTTTGCTTTCTTTTTACTTGTTTCTTTATGTTAATTTCCTTGTTTTTGTTTTGTTTTGATTCGTTCTTTTTTGTTTTTTGTTTCTTTGTTTCCTTGTTTTATGTTTATCTTTATTTTTGTTTTGATTGTCTTTCTTATTTTTTGTTTCTTTGATTTATCTTGTTTCTTTCTTTAACTTGTTTTGTTGTTTTATTTTGATTCGTTATTTCTCTGATTTTTTTTTTTTATATTTCGTCTATATTTTTTGTCTCTCTTTCCTCTTTGTTTCCCTATATGGTTTTTACTTATTTTTTTCTCATTTGCTTACTGTCTGTTTGTCTGACTATTTGTCTGTCTGTCTGTCTCTCTGTCTGTCTGTCTCTCTCTCTCTCTCTCTCTCTCTCTCTCTCTCTCTCTCTCTCTCTCTCTCTCTCTCTCTCTCTCTCTCTCTCTCTCTCTCTCTCTCGTTCGTTCTTTTCCCCCACTGATAGTGAAAGTAAACAAAAAACAATAAAGTAGAAGCAGAAGAGGAAGAAGAAGAAGAAACAGAAATAGAACAAAAACAAGAACAAGAAAGAAGAAGAAAGAAGACAATGTATAACGAAGAAAGAAATAGAAGAAAAAAAAGACAAAGAAAAGAAGAAATAGAAGAAGGAAGAAAGAAAACAAAAAACAAACAAACAAACAATAACAGAATCAGGAGCAGAAGGAAGGAAGACGAAGGACAACGAATGCAAGATAACAAGAAGAAATAAGAAGAAAACAAACAATACCAGAATCAGGAGCAGAGGCAGATAATCAGCTGTTGATTCTCAGACACGTCGCGAACATGTCCTTGAGCGCAGGGAAGGCCAGCAGTAAACCAAAGGAATTATTTTGGTGGTTTTGGGTTGAATGGAAATTGTTAAGGGTGTGTTAGTGTGCTTGGTTGAGTGAGTGGGATTGTTTGTGAGTATTAGGCGAGTGAGTGGTATTGTATTAGTTGAGTGAATATTGTATTGTGTGTATTAGTTTGTTTGTTTTCTTCTTATTTCTTCTTGTTTTCTTGCTTTCGTTGTCCTTCGCCTTCCTTCCTTCTGCACCTGATTCTGTTATTGTTTGCTTGTTTGTTTTTTGTTGAGTGGGATTGTGAGTGTGTGTTAGGCGAGTGAGGGGTATTGTATTAGTATAATGAATGTTGTATTGTGAGCATTAGTTACTTTGGTTGAGTGAGAGTTGTATAGTGAGTGTTCATGGGGTGTTCGCGTGTCTGGTTAGGCGGGAGTTGTGAATATTGGTGAGTTTTAGTCTTTGGTTAAACGAAGATTGTATAGGGAGTATTAGTGGCTGGTTGAGCGAGAGCTGTATCGGGATGATAATGTAGTGTCAGTGTGTTTGGTTGAGTGACTGATATTGGAAGTATTAGTGTGTCTAGTTGAATGAAGATTGTGAGTACTGGTTATTGTGAGTATTGGTAACTTTAGATAAGCGAGACTTTTATAGGGAATATATGGACGAGTATTAGTGTGTGGATGAACAAGCATTCTATGGAGAGTATCGGTGAGTATAAGTGTGCCTGGTTGAGCGAACTTTGTATGGTTTATTGGTGGTTTCTTTGTGACTTGCTTTGATTAAACAAAGAAACTCTTTGGTCATCATTTATTGTTTATGTGTTTTAGCGTATGGATCTTCCATTCTTTTTATTTTTCTTACTTATGATTATTGCATTTCATTTAAATGCTGTATGTAATGATAATATTAATTGATTAATCTATCTATCTATTTATTCATCTATCTATCTATCTATTTATTTACCTATCTATCTATCTATCTCTCTATCTCTCTCTCTATCTCTCTGTCTATCTATCTATCTATCTATCGATCTATTTATTCCCTTACTTATTTATCTATTCATTTATCTCTTTACTCTAAAGTCTAAAACAAGGCTCAGGTCCTATCTTATCTAAACTGATCGCAATTCCCCAACTGCAACACCGATATATCCCTCCTTCTTAGAACTTCACCAATGCAACTGTCTGCGTTTGCAATAAGTTGATTTCTAATACATAAAAAGGTTTCAGATTTTGGAAAAAAAAAGCGTAGCAACATTATTTTTACATTGTATTTTTTCTTTACAGTGTTACGTAATTCAATTGTGAAAAAAATAGAATTATCATTAATTATCCTATTATGAAAATAAATCATAATTCGTAATGATTGAAATGAAATAAAACGATTTAGCAGTTAGCATAATCTTAGCAGTCCTTACAGCTTGTGAAGAGAGAGAGAGAGAGAGAGAGAGAGAGAGAGAGAGAGAGAGAGAGAGAGAGAGAGAGAGAGAGAGAGAGAGAGAGAGAGAGAGAGAGAGAGAGAGAGAGAGAGAGAGGAGAGAGAGAGAGAGAGAGAGAGAGAGAGAGAGAGAGAGAGAGAGAGAGAGAGAGAGAGAGAGAGAGAGAGAGAGAGAGAGAGAGAGAGAGAGAGAGAGAGAGAGAGAGAGAGAGAGAGAGAGAGAGAGAGAGAGAGAGAGAGAGACAGACAGACAGACAGACAAAAAGAATCCCGACAGGCTGAGAAACGTGCGAAGGAGCAAACAAGAAGTGATTAAAGGATTTCGCAAATCTATTTGGGGTTATAAAATCTCGCTCGGGATTTGCCTTCTAATGAACTTGGCTTTGCGAAAGGTCAGGCTGGGTCAAGACGTGCGGGCTTAATCCGGTTTGGTTTGTTTGTAAGATTGTGCGCAAGAGTGAGACGAAATGCGGTGTCAGTGAAATTCATTTATTTATCTTATGCTTATTCTTATCTATTTATCTATTTGTTTGTTTGTTTATGCACTTTTTATCATTCTCTTATCTAATTTATTTATTCATTTATTTACTTATTCATTTACTTATATCTATTTACTTATTCATTTACTTATTCATTTCCTTATATCTATTTACTTATATATTTGCCTGTCTATCTATCCTTTAATTCATTAATTCATTTTGCCAGAAAAAAAACATTTCAAATAAGAAACGAACTGTTATATATTCAAAATATGTAATCCACACGATGGCTCTTGAGAAAGAGCAACGTTAACAGAACGTTTTATGACATCCGTAACCACATGTAATATTTCATAGTAGATGTTTGTCCTCAGACTACCGGTTGTAAAATCCTGTCTAGGACACGCACAGCAACGGTAAAGGATACAGGCGAGGGACACGTCTGATTTCCGCGTAGGATGGGAATTATGGTCGTGTTAAGGGAAGGGAAGTCCTTAATCTCCGTTGCCTCTCCGGGGTCCTATGGCAGGGATCGTCAAGGAGGTAAGGATTTCGCCTGTAAGTAAGGCCTATCCTTTGTTACTTATCTTCCTTATTATAATCATCAACTCACTGTTTCTCTCTCTCTCTCTCTCTCTCTCTCTCTCTCTCTCTCTCTCTCTCTCTCTCTCTCTCTCTCTCTCTCTCTCTCTCTCTCTCTCTC